GATCCTATCTAGGCAATGCTGCTTGATGGTAAGCATCACTGTCAGATTAAGAGTGTGGTGTTGACGCCTTAATCCGGCTGATATGCGCCGGATTCTGGGAGTAAAAACTCTACCAGTCGTCTTATATTCCACCACACTCTGGATCCGAGAAGCATGTTGTCTGGCTGACTGTATCTTGCCTTCGATTTTCTGTACACACCGCTTGGCTTTCTCGACCCCATGATTGGTTGACCTCTCACGGGGGACGAGTTGCTTCACGGCGTTGTACACGGCACTGTTGATTTGCCAGATATCTGCATCTTCCGGAATTTCCTCATCGATGACCACGTCCATTCTAGCCAGGTCTTGTGGCTTTAGGTTAGCCCTGGTGTTAAGGCTAACCCTCGTCCTTAAGTCTTCGTCGGTGAACTCTAAAGGATGTTCCCCATCAGCTGGTAATTGCCGCGGTGTGACTGCGGCTGGCAGTTCTTCCGGCAGACGGGGTGCCCTTACATAACCTGTCCTGAGCAGAAAGGATACTTGATCTCTCAAATGTTGTTGAGAGAAGGCGCGATGCTCTGGATGCATTTCGCACCAAAGTGCATGCAATCGCGCCATGTATCCCCTTCGCTCAGGTTCGCTACTCTCGCGGTAGGTCAGCAAGTCATCCCGAAGTTCCCTCGTTCACTTAAAGCGTCCATGTACAGTTGCAGTTTCGTCATCGTTAGGACCGTCCGGTAAGGCCCCTCCCATCTGTCCTTGACCTCTATCCGACTGAGGTCGATTGTGAGGGGCTCTTCTTAGGTTATATGGAACCCATAGCAGTAAAGAGTACCAGGGTGGTTATCTCTGGTACTCCCGGCCGGCATTTGTCAGGCAGAGTTGCCTCTGCCTGTCCAGGGTGCACCAACGTGGAGGTTGCCGGTCCTTTGCACCCCTATTATTATTATTATTATTAAACAAGAATATGTGTACATGTGTATGACAAACTTTGCCCTCATGACTAAAACATGCACATTATTAGTCACTTGATACATAATATACTATTTTTTTAAATAATGACTGACTACAAATATTAATGGTAATTACGAGGTGGGCCAAAAAGAACCGTTCTATATACTTTTCTTTGCCAAATTATTAATTTTAGCGAACTCGGTGTCAATATTTAGCTGATTGAATGAGGTACGAAGACTAAATGTTATGATGGCCGAAACGTTAAAATTCAAGATGGCGGCGGACACACTATATCTCCACAATCAATGGACCGATTTAAGCCATCGTAGTCTTAAACTATTGAGGAAAGTTTATTTTTTCGAAATCTGTTATTAGTTCTGTTATTTTGACAACTTCTAATGCGAAAGAATGAGCATAAAAGAAGGTATATTTTCAGGTGTATCAGCTATCTTGAATTTTAATATTTTGACCATCTACATTTGGTCTTTGTAGCCTGTTTAATCAGCTGATTGGTTGAGAAACACCAGATATATACTGCTGCCACCTTCTTAATTTAAAAATAAATTATAAACTTAGTGGTTTAAATATCGAAAAAGAAAAGTTTCTCAAAAATAACATCCATTGTCTATTCACGCGAGAAATCATAGCCGAGCATCATGTGCATTCTTCACAGGCTTAACAAGAAGCAAATCAGACTTCCCGGTAACAGTCGAAACATTGTAATTTTATCTTAGAGGGTCTAATAAACTTTCTTGTGCAAATATGGATAGCAGTACTCGCATTTACCGCAATTGTGTGAACTAAATAAGATGCCGTTTTTATTCGTTTTTTTAAATTCTTTGACATTACCCTCAATATTAATGTTATATTAATGGCTAAATAAATTCTTGATCTATTCCCGATATTTAATGAGAATAATGTTTTACCTTTAGAATAACTTGAAACCTGAATAAAACATGATTTAAAATGGTCTAAAATTATCCGACCTGATAAAGGGTTTTCAGTTAGGACTTTCAACTTTTTATAAATTGATATGCTTTTATATGGGGTCACAACGCTGATAAATGGGTGCCAACCTAAACCGGTCAAAGATGTAAAATTTATAAACGTAGGCTTAAGAAAGCTCTATTGCTAGTTTTAATGCCTACTTTTTCACTGTCTAAAATAAATTGAACGTTGAATTTATTTTGAAAATCACAATCCATATTGCTGCGGTTCGACATGAAGTATTGAAATCATGTAAAAAATATCAAAATCTTACTCCTACTTTGGATTATTTTTCTGAATATTTTATTCACAACAAAAGCAGAAAATTTTGTCCGTTTGGCTGGTGTCTGTATGCGTGAAGACAATAACTAGAAAACGCGCTAGCCGATTTAAAAAATACTTTCACCAGAATAGTTTGTAAATCATCGTTTATAAAGAAATATACATATATAAAAAGTAGCAGTTGCGAAGCTTTTGATTGTATTTAGTTCTGATTATACAGGTTGTCTTATCCGGTACGTTAATTTGAGGACATTTGGGTACCTGTGTGTACAGATTTTGGATAAGAGCTTGTTTTAACAATTTTCAATGTTACAGTGCTAAAACTTTCTTTGAGCAGTCAAAAATCATCATATTCCTAGTTGTTGGATTGGTTGCAATAGTGAATTTTCTTGACCAACCCGTAGTCCAGATCTCAATCCACTGGACTTAAATTTATGAGGCTATATGAAGTCTATGGATACAAAAAATCAAATTAATGCCTGAGAAGAATAATGGCCCTTATTTTTGTTAATATTAATCAATTTTAATTTTATAAAAACAGCCTCATGTAGAATTTTTTTGCAGTTTTCAAATATGCTATTATATTTTTTCCGAAAACATAAAGGGGGCAAAATAAAGTTGAATAATTTTAAACGGAAGACCCTCTATTTTTTGCTCCCTTACAATTATAATGATATATAATAGTTATGCTTATTCTAAAATTTATGTTGATATTAAAAAAAAAACAAAACCTGAGTATCTACACATGCCTAAAATATCATAAATATCAAGCATCCTAAGACATCTGGATGCCGGAGAGACCTATACATATCTGGGTGTGCAACAAAGGCACATCCAGGATGTATCACAAATAAAAGATTTTCTCCGCGGCAAGTACAGACACCGCCTCCGAAAGATTTGGTCTTCCGAACTTTCGGGGAAGAACAAGGTGTCTGCAACTAATATGCTGGCCGTTCCGGTTCTGCTCTACTCCTTGGGAGTAGTAAAGTGGACAGTAGAGGAGCTGCGTCAATTAGATAGGGATACCCGAAAGATGATGAATATTCACAGAAGTATTCATCCTAGATCGTCCGTTCCTCGTGTGTACCTCCCACGTCAACGGGGGGGCGAGGACTCTTGAGCCTGGAGTGTACGCATGGCAGAGTAGTTCTGAGTATGGCATGTAACATACTCAGGAGCTCAGATCCCCTCTTGCGGTTCGTAAAACATCACGAAACTGTAGGAGTAGGAGCAAGATTGTTCAAAGCAGCAAAAAGAGCCGCAGATGAACTCGGTCTCGCATTTGACATCAGGCGAGAAGGCCAGCGAGGTGCTGATGTTGAGTCAGTCACCGAACTTCAGCCAAATCGTCTGAAAGCCCGAATCAGAGCTGCCGAAGAGGAAAATCTGTTTCGGCGGCACGTCGATAAATCCCAGCATGGTGTCTTCTATAAGAACATAGAAACACTGGGTTTATCGACCAGGCAGACCTTCGCCTTTCTAAGGTCAGCAGGGCTTAAGTCGGAGACCGAGGGATTCATTATGGCCTGCCAAGATGGTGTTATCAATACCTTGGTCTACCGTAGCCGCGTGTGGCGTGTAGAGGTTCCTGATATCAACTGTAGGACCTGCCATCAGGCGCCGGAATCGCTCATGCACCTACTATCTGCATGTCCCGTATATGCGATTTCGGCCTACATCCACCGGCATAACGCAGCGTTACGAGTGCTATACTACCATCTAAGGCACTCGTACGGGGTAGACCAGACACCAGTGCTGCCTTACGTCCCCGGAGATATTGAGTCCGTCGTCGAGAACGAGAAATGCCGGATTTACTGGAACTACTCGTTCCCGACTGTCAGGCTAATCCAAGCCAACAAGCCTGACATAGTCCTCCTCGACCATCAACTCAAGGTGATGTATGTCATCGAGTTCTCGGCACCTGCGGAGAAAAATATCACCTTGAAGGAGGAGGAGAAACGGACCAAATATCGCGATCTCCGGTACGAGCTCCAAGTGCTGTACCCAGGCTACTCGGTAAAAAATGGTCGTCCTTATAATCGGTGTACTCGGAGGGATAAAGCCTACGCTGCTCTCGGAACTGAAGAACATACCGGCCTGCCAAAAATCAGCCGAGTGGCTGGCAGGCCAAATGCAGAAGGCGGTCATTCTGGGTTCTCTCCGTCTGCTTAGGGCACACGATTCTGGTAGCTACAGTCACTAACCCTGTGGGATGTGGGGAGTGGCTGTAGTTGATGCGCCGGCGCTACTCCCATGAGGCGTCGGAGGGCACGGGAGGACTGACCGGCATCGGATATTCCGAAAAAAAATAATAATAATAATATGTCTTTATTGTGTAAATACAAAAATAATATTACACACAAATGGTCAGCAGTACAGTAAACAATGATATAAAAACTACTAACCTACAATACATTTTAACATTTAACATTGAAAACGTAGTATATAATTTTTTACGTGTTCTTAAAATGAATTAAAATTAATATTTAAGTAATTGCGCAAAATCAGAGCTTTGAGTTGATTTTTTAATGTATATGTTGAACTATTGTATAGCTGCAGGGGTAGACTATTGTAAACATAAGTAGACAGATATGAAAAGGAAGATCGAAATATTACATACCTAGGACGGATTGCATGTAAATGATTATTTGTATGTCTCAGATTTCTGTTATGTATAGAATTTCTCATAAAAAGTTTGTCAATTGCCATGGGCAGGATTTGTATTCCATTTTTCAAAGCCTGCACATAAAACAAATATAGATATTAATAAAGACGTCACATAAAAATTCATTTGGTGTGGCTTCGTGGCTGAGTGGTAAGGACAATTGCCCCTCACCCTAGAGTTCCGGGTTCGACCCCCGGTCAAGGAGCTAGGATTTTTCTAAACCAGAAATTAATCCTAGCATACTCGGACACTGGGTGTATGTCCATTGTCTTTAAATGTGTAGCCCTCTCGCACACAAGATACATAGAGGTACCTTCAGGGATACAGAGGGTTGTATTACATGTGGTGTATTTATTCATATACCTGTAACATGAAACTAGTGGATCCAGGATAGAAGCAGAGAGTTGCGCTACAATGCGGGTATACCGGACATTCCAGTGTACAACTATATAGAGCTAGGCAGTTTGTCCGCTGGTGACGGTGGTGTCCCCAGTTCAATAGCAACCTGGAGGTGTGCGGGTGCGTGCGTGATGGTGACAACAACATAGATTTCTAGAAAAAATAATAATAATTATGGGGTATTACATAAGCATCCTTTTTTGAATCTAACATGTATTGGAAGTGTTTAATTTATTGTCAACCTAAAACATTTATACTAGCACAAAGAATGATAGAATGACAAAAACTATAGGTATTTATAATTGTTATCATGTTATGGTCTATTTATACACATACTTAAACTAAAGAATTAAATTAGGAAATTAACCTAAGTAAAGTTAAAATAACATTTCTATTTCTAAGCATTTATACAGAGAATTAAATCAAGGAATTAAATTAAGAAGTTGTCTACTTTGTAACGAAATTGCAAGCCATTTCATTCTAGTTTGTTGTTTTCCACGATTAACTAAGTTTTTGTTAGTCTAGTCCAGATGGTGCCACTGATTTCTACTGGAACAGTTGGTTTTGCAGATTTTTGCACTAATTATCTATCTTTATTGCTCATACTCTACTCTCAAATGTTTGTCTCTTTCCAAACTATATTCGAGTTTAGGTAGCAGAACACTACGATGCTACTTCCTTTTTTACTAGTGTAGCGTTCAGAAGGAAGACATCTCTAGTTCAGCGGTCTGATAAAATTTATATGTTTTCTGGTATTATCTTGTGATTTTATGCTCATCATTATTTAAAAAGTTGCTATATTGATTTAAAGTACTTTTGAGGTAATTTTCATAATAACATCGTACCGTAATTATCTTAATTTACGCCTTGGGCGAATTTGCTTTTCGGTGATCATTTCACCTTGGTTTTTCTTTGGAACAGCCATCATTAATATTGATTAGTATCGATATATCGTGCCTTGTTGTCAATTTATCTAATATTCCTCTGATATTGTAATAATTTCGTGTGCTAATTTAAACTAACTTTCGGTTATTGTAAATTTTAGATTTACTCGGCAACGGATGTCGCCATTTTGTATCGTAGTTAGTTATTTTCTGTCTTTGTCTGTTGATGTTTTAGGTCACTTGGTTACGTTGGTAGCGCTCTGTGAACAGTGATGACTGGTGACATTTGGAGATTGGTAAACTCTTTTGGACTAAACTTATTTGTTTATAACCTTTGTGAAAATTATCTAATGTGGTGCATATGTTTTGTGGTGGATCATTTTATACCAGTGCATATATTTATCAACAAGACCTCAGTAACGTAAGGTTTTTCTAAATTTAAAATATCGAATGCTTACTTGAATGTTTACTTAGTATTTAGTTAGGAACGCTGCCCTAGTGGAGCCTTGCCTAGTTCTCTGGCAAAGATACCTACCTAGTTATCTGGCAATTGATTAACTTTTGATTATCTACAGTAAACATATAGTCAAACTATATATCTTTATTTAACTTTATCTGCAATTCATTATTACCTCTCTCCGAGGAACTAATAAATAATTTAATTTAACCTTACCTTTAATTTGAAAATAATATTGTTTTATATTTAGCAAATATTTATTTACGTTATCGTTCTAGTTGTCTGTCTGTATGCAGACATTCAAAATTCTACTTTCTTGAAGATTACCTTCTTTTAGTAAAAAATATCTTAACATAATAGTGAATACCTATTTCACTTTGTTTATTATCATAGCTACACCTAGTTTATTTGTTGGACTAGCATTTTTTCTATTGAACGTAACTTTTATCGATACTTAAGTTAGTTGAAGTCTTCAACTTCCTAAAATATTGTAGGACACCGATCCTAGTTTGTTTAGTTTGCAATTTACTCTGTAAATTTGTGTTAACTCTCATATTTTGTCTACGTAGCTGGACAATTCAAACGTCACAGCTTTTTACTTTGTTTTGCCTATAATAGTGATCTCATAAAACTCTCCCCTTTTTATGTTAATACCTGGACCAAGAGAAAAGGATAACTGGTGGATCGAACTGATCATTATATAGGGTGGAGCAGGAAAACGATATTTTATATAACTGGCATTTTTTCTCAAGGGTAATTGCAGTACTGACAGTGGTGATTCAAACTGACACCGAACCCATTAAGAGCTTAGCCGTTGGTGGATTCTTCGCTGGACTAACTCATTTGAAGTTACGTAAGATCTTCGTCCTCAGTGAACGTGTATATTTGGTCAGAAGAAATTTGTAAGAGATCAGTAATTTTTTTTTCTCTTTCAATAACGTCATATCATTTTTTTTGTGTGTGCTTAGTTGTTGGTCTTCAACCAAACCTAGATTTTTTTGACTAATATGGGCCATCTGAGCCAATGTAAATATTGTACATATACCAGTCGTTATTATACTTTTTACTAAATAATATCTTTTTATTCAACTTCCTTCCCAACAGAATTCAAGTTTTAACGTTATCTTTACCTTTTAAAGTAAACTTTTAATTATTTGGTACTTGCAAAAGTCCTGGCGCCCAGCCTAGATTTTGGTGAGAACTCAAATCAATCTAAGCCCTTATTCATGACCTGCTAACTGAGCTACCGGTCAATAAGTACAACCCCCAGCTTACTGTGTTATGCCAGTAATTGAACGGCGGGGTGTTGCAACTTTTAACTCTTAGTTTAATACATAAGGTCATTTTGCTAGAGCATAATCGCCGCCGCCGTCAGATTATTCGAAATAGGGACGGGTAATTTAAGAATTATATTGAATCCAGTCAGTAACAAAAACCTCATTAAAACTATAACTTTCTTCATTTTCATCCATTTTGAGAAAGTAAAATGAATATAATGAGTATCAATAAAAAAAGTTATGAACATTTGTCGATACACGTTGATTCACACACAAAAAAGCATATCCTATAATATTTATTAATTAACCTGAGTTTGTCTCACAACGTTCCACAACTACGACCTTACTTTTCATAACACAGTACTTAGCTGAAATTATAGATGGTGGTGGCCAGGTCGATGTCATTTATACGAATTTTTTTAAAGCATTTGACAGAATCGACCATGGCATTTTATTTAAAAAATTATATTCCTTGGGCTTCAACCTAGAATTAATTTATTTCTTTGAATCCTATCTTCGTAACAGAAATCAATTTGTACAATACCAAGGCCAAAGATCTATGAAATTTATATCTCAATCCAGCCTTCCACAGAGTTCAATATTGGGCCTTTTATTGTTGATCGTATTCATAGATGATATCGTACTTGACCTCCAATATCCATCTCTCTTATATGCTGAGTCAGAGTAAAGAAAGTGCTATGAACCATGGAAAATTCAAGTGTTGTGCAACAAAAGAGTGCTCAGTGAAAGTATGTGAAAATTGTCTTTCAATTTATCACAAAAGTTGTGCAGACAGACTCAGTTTAAAAGTAATAGACTTAAATAGGGTTATTTGCTGTGAAGAAAATGAAATAAAAAAGACTGTTGAAAATTATTTCAAATCAACTAATACAGGAAAAAATGGATCTTGAAATTAGTTATCTAAAAAAAACTTTTAAAAGAGATGGAAGAAAATATCATTTTACTCCAGGAAAATAATACTTTATTGAAAGATAAAATTGCATATTTAAATAAAGAAATGGCAATTATCGATAAAAACAATAGTGCATTAGAAACAAAACATGTAGTACAGAAAGGTATGTCTACAAAAACAGTATCAGAAGAGAGAAATCATAAAAAGCCTGAGGATATAAATATAAATCTAAATAAATTCTCTAACAAAAAACCAGATAAAAAAATAAAAGAAAGTAACTTGAGCATAATGGAAAGCAACCAAACTCAAATAATGCAGGAAATTATAAATTTAGGACCAAGTACGTCAAACATGCAACATTTTAATAATCAAACAATTTTTTATCAAGTAAGAAAAACCCTCAAAATGAAAGGCAAGGTGATTACACTTATAAACAAGCCTTAATAACTGGCAAAAAACAAAATAAAAATGAACAAGTCACACGGAACAACAAAATAATCAAACGAAGGGAGATCAATTTTGGAACGGCAGAAACGAAAAAATGGACATAATAATTTTATGGGAAAAGAAAGCAATAAAAAAGTATGGCTTTTCATATCGCGAGTGAAAGATCATGTCACAGATGAAAAAAATAAAAAACTACATAAAGAAAAAAACTAATCTTCAAGATGACAATGATATAGTGGTCGAACATATGAAAACCAAATATGACAATATCAGGAAAGACTGTAAAGTCGGAATAAATTTTGACAAAAAAGAAATGGTCTATGAGGAAAACTTTTGGCCCAAGAAAGTCGTATACAGAAGGTTTGATTTTGATGCAAAAACTCAACTTGAAGATGACAAAAATGAGGATTTTTAAATAATATATATTTTAATATGTGTATTTGTATTATTTAGTTTTAAGTTTTAACTTTTTTTACTCGTGTTATAATTTTACTTAGTTTTACTTAGTTTTATTCTGTGACACGTTCCACATCCATTTGGATATATCTGAAGTATAAATAAAGACTTATCTATCTATCTATCTATCTACAACACGCTGGTACGACCTAAGCTTGAATACCCAAGTTTTTAAAAGAAGAAAGTTTTTAAAATTCCTTTCATTTAAAATCGATGATAGGGAGTTATGATCAGCTATGGTTGCTAAATCGTTTCTCATCCAGTTCTATGAAGCATCGTAGAGCCATGCAAAGTGTTGAGCATTTATTGAAACTTTTAAACAATACTGTCCACAATTATTGGAAAAAATTAATTTTAGAGTGTTGCTTGGCCATC